TGAAAACGATATATTGCACTGTACTCTTACCACTGGTTGTCTTTTTCGGGAGGAGCGAGGACACTAAAAGAGCCCAGGGCTCCATAGCGTTTCAGCACCTGCAGTGCTGGATGTAAGTCGCATCGTTTTGTCAGCTCCAATAGTCTTTTGCTGATCGTGAACTCGGCCTCAAGGCCTACTACATCTTATATGCTTCAGTTTAAACAGAGGTAACTGCCAGTTTATAGCAAGAATACGATAATAGGCAAATAACTGCTGCAAGACCAGATTATACAGCTTATTTCACACCTAGCTACTAGTTCTCTCTCAACTGAATCAATTCTCTAAACCAGAAATCACGAAAGCCATGTTCCATGGTGAACTCCTGCACTGTAAGATGCATGTCGCATCATTTTGTCCGCTAGAGCCGTGGCTTAAATGATTCCCCTAGGCAACTAGTACATGAGGCCAGGGGAGATTCGCTGTGAAATCTGATCTTGAATGAATCATTCGTTGAAGGAATAGTCATAGAAAGTTGTTAAGAATGTTTTTATCCGGAAAACTGCCGTATTGTGTGAAACGCAAAACGTATTTGTTCAGTGTGTACTTCAAGTGCTAACACGTAATCCTTCAGTATCAAACCAGTTCATGAACTACAGACTGCACAAGTAAGAATAGCAATGTGTATGCTGTGAATAACAAGAAAAAACAGAAAGACGGGTGAATGAGTAAGAGTACAAACGAGAGCCTATAATATCAGTGCAGTAGTGAAGAATTTGTAATAGTGGTTGTTGCTAGAAAAACGGACCATCGCCAGAGCAGGCAGATATTAGACTGGATTCGAAGAAAGAAAATGAACGGGCCGTAGTAAGATTTTCATATTTATGGCAGGATGAGCTGAAGAAGTTCGTTAAATCAAGATAGATTGGAATAACAGACAAGATAAGTTTACGGCAAAGTCTTGGGGAGTCTTCATCCAGCGTTGGATCGGTAGCGGCTAATGGAACTGAGAACGCATACAAACCGCAGTTTATGCTACTTAATTTTAAGTGGCACAAGCAATGAATTTTTTGGCACTCATTATAATACCTAGACAGATTCGTTGGAGTCCATGACAGTTTTATTTATGTGTACTCTGCTTTAAGATGTTGAACATGAATTTACTTTGAGCAATTTCTACGTAGATGAATTATGATGTAATTTTATCGATACTGGTTTAGTAGCTAATTTGTTGATTGTTTCAAATGATGCTAAATCTCTGCATGTTTTTGCTGTTTTCGTCACTGTCATCTCAAAATAAAGCTTAAACAAAATTTATGATGCTAGATGGTTAGAAGTAGTATTTCAGAATAATATTAAGTATCGTTTACCGTTGCGGCAAAATTTGTATAAAATAATGTTTACCCATACCGGGCAAGTAGATTAATCAAATAGATGCAGCTGTTGTTTCGTTTGCAGCGAAAATGTGTGCCACTGCTTAAATAGTATTTCGGCATCAAGACTTGTCCATGCCGTGCAAAGTTTGTATGCTTTATCCCGGTTGACATTTTCGCAAAATTAGTTAATTAATGTTTCTTTGGGTGCTGTTGCGGTAAGGGTCATGAGCCTCATAGTATAATTATATTTCTACTTTTATTTAGCTTTCGATTATGATTAAATTTTAATTATTTTAACAGCTGCTTAGAGTTTGGATGTTTGATGCTCATAGTTTCCACGCGGTAGTTTTATTACTCGTTTTGTCGTAGAAAAATGTAAATATGACGTCAAAAATAAGTTATCGGAAAACAACAAGGATAGCTTGCCGGACCCCTGCTTTTCATTGCATTTCCAGACCGGCGCCATTGTCATCGTGAACCGTCTATCTGATCAGCATAGGCAGCGTCGGTCGGCTTTGGGAGTTAACTTAATGGCTTCATGGCGTCACAGATCAAGTCAACGACTGCAGATGTAGGTAATTCGATTAGGTTATGAGGTCGCCATTAGTTGTTCATTACTTCAGTGCTTCATTGTCATCGTTACATGACGTTTACTTAACGTTAATTGTGGCTACACGTCAGATCATTGTCATTGTCTGGATGATCAGATTCATAAGCATGAAGATAGGTGAGTAGATGACTGTCTTAAAAATTTTGTGGCCTTGCTTTCGTCTTACCTATATTGATTTAACATACGCTGCATTAGTGTGGCGCTACACTATGCTCTGATTTACGAACCCATAGACGGCAGATAGGGAATGAGGCACTTGCACGGTACAAGGAAAGGTTAATGATTGGCTTACTGCGGCTCCATCGTCCATCCGTCGGTCGTCAGAGGCTGAGCAAATCCGAAGGCTTCGCTTTTTGTCGTCATGCTGTCTTCGGACCTTCCGTTGCGCGTTAAATTTAGCTTCTTCTGTGAAAGACACTCGGCTGACATGATTTATGGCATTCTTGACATATAGTCATCGTGCGGAGTTTTTCTTCTTGTTCAAAGTTGGGATTTAATGTCTTGGCTGACTTTTATGGTGGCATCTTACGTAATATCGACAACGTCCATCATCACAAGTCGATCGACAAGCGACCTCGAAGCTTTCGATGATGGTCTTTATGCATGGCTTATTTGAGAGGAATTACCTCCTCCTTCCTGCGGCAGGAGTCGATTTCTTTGCATTCCATCCGTATGAGTAGAAGAAAATCTTTCGATTTCAGCTTTTAGTTGACTCCAGTAGTCAGTACAAAATTCTGCCTTTCTGTATCGGTCATCATGATTATTTGTTATTTGTTTGCAAACATAATCTCTATGTCATAAAAGGTACTAATGATATGCCAAAGGCTTATGTTCTGCATGGAATAATCTGCTTGTCTGAAGCTGGTTGCTTGTATCGATCATTATGATGAAAAATGTGCAGAGTTGACTTGCCACTTCTGTCATAGGTAGCTTTTACATAACATGTCAACGATGTCGCCTGCTTTGAAACGAGTGTTCCTACAGCCGATGCACATGAATGAGTGAGAAACGTCACAAAGCGAATACAAGCGAACCCTGAGAGGTTTGCGTTGACGCAGATGTTTTCTGCTCACCAAAATAGGTATCTGTTAAACAACTGCTAAATGTTTGTATTTTTCCGTTTTGACCGGCCGAGGGGAAAAGCTGCCCTCGTTTTTCTGGAATGACGTCGTGACGTCATTGTAAAATGCAAACTGAATTACCAAATGCATCAGGCTTTGCAACGACAGAGGTTTCACGACGCAAAGCGATGAAGTCTTTACATGCTAGAACCCCAGTTTATATCATTGGAATATGACAATATTTGAATGATGCAGCTTTCGGCAGGGGAGGGGGGGGGTACATAGAGCATTCTCAGCATAAATGGCACCGGTTTGGAGATCGTACAGTCATGTTGGTTACACACGAACCCACTGGCTCATTTCGGAGGCCGTGATTACAATTTGGTTGTCGACGGCAGCTGCTTGTTGTCCCGTAAACCCAAATTACTCTCAGCGCCCATCGAGCGGGCAATGAGGCAGGTTTCGAATCATTATGGGGTGATTTGACGCACTGGGCTCAGTTAAGGCACGCTACCTCTGGTTTAAATCTATGGAATTTGCTGATGTCTGTCTCTACCCATTGCTTGATTTATTTATCCCCTCGTGTCACATGTCATTTGATAGCTGTTTATCATTGAACTGTCAAGGGATTCTCAATTCTGTGAGTTTAGAAAATTATCGATTTTATTTTATTTTCCATAATGGCGACTG